AAACTGTAGCAAATTGTTTGTGCAACACACTACGCTACTGTTTATAATCTCCGTAATAGTCTGCCTCTTCTTCCCTTTCTGCCTGCCAAAATGCAATATTTTGACAGCAGACAGAATGTACAGGTCTCTGTAGCATAGTTAATTAGGAATAGTTGTTTATTCCCTAGGCCTGCATAAAGATCTGCTGCTGAGGGAGGAACTGGAGAAATGAGAATTGTGAAACACTGTATCAATACTAACTTGTTTACTCATAGCTCCTCAATCACTTCCTCCCACCACTCAATTACCTCCATAGCCTCCACACTGCGCTTGCCTTGAACCTGCAGAGATAGCTAGGAAAATAGTAAGCAAATGCCCTAAAATAAGCGATACGAACTGCTGCCTTGTTAATATCTGTATATAAAATGCATACACATGGTGCTTGAGAAGACTATTTTCACCTTCCCTGTAGCAGCTGGCATTATTTACCTGCTCCACATGCCACAAAAGGAGCTAGAATTTCAGGTTTAACATAGCACACTCTGAGCTTCATGACAGAGACAGTACTACTCAGATCCTCTTATCACAGACATCCTCCCCTGAACAGCACTAGCAGCCCTGAGCCTTCCCTTTTGCTGTTAATGCCGAGATGACACAAACAAGTATGCTATCACAAATGGGGGCAGAGGGAGAGAACCGAGTGCCTAAAGGTGGGACAAGTGTAGGACTGCTTCTGGATGCACTGTTGGCTTATGCAAGTTTAAGCTGTACTTGCAGGTACGCTTAAAACACGAGAAGATGGTATAAGGCACAGGCATGATGATTTGCCAGAGAACAAATCAGAATTTATTCTGCAAAATAAATGATACTGCTCACATGGAGAAATCTGGGGACTGCTAAAGAAATCTTGTTAACAATGGTTGTGTTTTCAGTGAGAAACCCTTCTATAACAGATACAGACTGAAATTAGCCCAAGTCAAAAACTGGCAATCACATTGTAGACACAGACACATCGATTGACATTTCTAACATTTAACAAGGAAAAGAGGTATGAAATGTTCTGTAAGAGCCAAACCACATCTTCAAGGTTACTAAGACAGATCTTCAGAGAACTTCAGGTGCCTAGTCTCCATCTAGTTAAACACTGCTGCACATGGCAGCTGCCTAGAAATCTAAGGCATTCTGAACCAATCCCTACTTTTCATCCTTCAATTTCATCCTTGTAAAAGAATTACTCAAACTGAAAGAGCAGATTAGCTTACATTATTGCAAGGCAGCAGCATAATAGGGCTTGGAGATTCTTCAAGAGATGTTTGATTACAAATCTGCACCCAACAGCAAAAGAGATCACAATAAGAGCAGCGGTTTGTTTGTGATACTTGAAAATCTAACTAACTGACTGGAGCTCAACGAGGAAAGTGCCTTTTTTTTTTTTTCCCTTTTAAATTTCCTCCCACCAAAGCTGGGGACAAAAATATTTGCTTGCCAGAGAAATGAGTCTGACTGAGGAAGTGATGTGACCTAACACATATGCACACTCTCTTATGCAGGACGGGACACAACAAGGCACTGCTATTCAAACCCTCAGGGTATTTTGAGAGAACTACAATTGGAAAGCATGCACCAATAGACTGTTCATAGGTTTTAGCATCACCGTACTAACCCTGCCTCATCTGAAAAATTCACTAATACCTACACAGCGTATTTCAGTCATGGGCTCTTTGCCCTTTTGCTATACTCATGGATTCTACAGCAGAATCCCAATGAAAACTGGAATCTAATTCCTCTTGCCCACATCATCCACCTCCATCATGGATGGATTGGTCTGAATCTCCTGAATGAGTCCAGATGCTCTCCGGATCGCATCTCTCCATCATAGCCCTCAGCCAGGCCCTGTCCAGCTGTTGTTTGAATCAAATCCCTCCAGCATGGCTCCCTGCCCACTCCAGTTGCTCGCTAGATTAGGACACAGCCCCTGGTCACTCCAGCAGCTCTCTCCTTCAGATATCAAATGCACCACAGACTACTGTCAGAACAACCTATTGAGCACAGCCACCCACGTGAGAAAGAACATCCCCTCCTTGGTTCCACCAGTAAGCCTTCCCTCCAAAGACACTACAGCCATAGGAGATACAGTGAAATGAAACTTTTCAGACAAATAATCTACTTGTTGCACTTCTACAGTCACTTAGTCACTAAACATGCAACTTCAGGCTGAGGAAAACTAGCTCAAATTGGTGTCAAAATCCTCCAAGCAGTTTAACAAAAAATATTCTTTTAAAATCTCATGCTCACTTGACTTATTATAGAGATTACCAGCTGACCCATACATGCCATGGCCTTTCATCCATCTTCAGCATGTGTTGCTTACACTTTCTTTGCTTCTGTTGTGAGTGCACTAAGAGCAGATGGGAAGTGGCTAGGCTCTGTTCTCTGAAGTGCTCTCTGCCAGAATTTCTAGTCAATTTGACTCCATGGTTTAGCACAGAGAAGAGTGGCAGGAGGCTGCAGCTTGAAAACTAACGGGGAAAGGCTGAGTATGGGAAGACTGTTGCAACGGGGAACCACAGACATAACACAAAACAGAGCAGAAATGAGAAAAAATGACAGCTATAGAACCCAAAGCAGAATGGAGCACATACAGCAAACCAATAAATAGCAAGGAGTGGAAAAGAGGGGAAAAAAAAAGCAGAAAGGGAAAAAATTAACACAGGAAAGAGAACCAGGCCAGAAGAACGTAACAGTAGTTAGAAGCCTGCTCCTGTTCCTTTTGTTTCACTCTAATTCTGAATGACATTTTACACTTACAGTAGTTCCAAATTTTGAAGCACGGAGCACCAGAGCTCTCACTTGATACATGTGAGAAACTACATGCTGCGATGGTTATTTAGACTACTGTCCCTTGGATTCACTTAGGGAAAGCATACACTATTTCAACCTCACATTTCAGGAGGCTGTGTAAAACACTGGTCTCAGTAAGGCTAACTGCACTGTCACCACTGACTTCAATACAGCCAGGACATCACAATTTCAGTTAAAGACCCAATTCGCAAGTTCTTTCTATTTTTATAACTGGAACTACAATGTTAATAAGGCTATATAGAGCAGAAGAGAATAGCAAAATATTTACAAACTACTTCTTACACAGCAACATCTCATGTGTGGATGACTCCATCCTGTTCTGCACTGTTACTTTTCCCACAGCGTGTGAAGATTCAAGAGAACAAAACCTTGCGGTTAATGCTGATAATTGCTCACGCAACTTGTTTGACAGCTTATTTTATCAATTATTTTCACACGAACCTGCACAGTATGAAATACTAGGCTGCAAAGCAAAGATCCAACTTGATGTAAAAGATCAAGGTGTGAGACCAGATGGAAGGACTCCTGAGAAGTAAGGCACTGCACAAAATGAAAGAGCCTTCACATACCTGGCCTCTGGGAGAAATCTGAGTTTTTAATAAAATATGCATTCCAAAACGATTGTAATGCTACCCAGCTCCAGCTTCCTGGGGAGGAGAATTAGAGACACCTGGCACACAGCATCCAGGACTTTCTACATCATGTGGCAACAAAGCTGTCATATGCAACATTTTATCGGGATCAAAACCAAAGACAGAGTAACAGCCGTCATTAAGAGGCCCTATTAGCGAATAATATAATGAAGTTAACGGGAATTTCCACTTTCTCGGTCTAATAAGCCCCTACGCTCCCTCCGATTGAGCTACTCGAAAAAGGATGCACGAACTGAAGCAAGCTCCCGCACACCTTCCCGAGCAAACCGCCCCGCCAGCAGCTGCAGCGCCGAGTCCCTACCTGTTCTCGGCGTGATGAAGGGACGTTAGAGGAGACCTGAGGGCTCGCACCACTTTCGGAGTGACGGTCGCTACCTCTGCCTCCTCCTCCCAGCCCCTGACAAACAAGACGGGATAACAAAAGTTGTCAAAGCCTGCGAGAGCCGCCACCGGGCGACAGCCGCTCCCCGCCGGGCGCTGCCCCGCCGGCTGCCGAGCCGCGAGCCGAGCCCACCGCGCGGGACGGAGTGGGCTCGCCCCATGCCGCTCCTCCTTCCCCGGCCGCCCCCAGGCTCCTCCGCCCCTGAGCGAGGCCCCTCGGCCCCTACCTGGCTCGGAGGGGCCGCTCGCCGCCCAGTCGCAGGAGGCAACCGCCGAGCAGCGTGCTGCCCAGCGCTGTGGCGAAGGCGACGACAGCCCGCATGGTGCGCTCGACAGCGGCTCCCGCCGCAGCTACGGCCGCCCCATAGTATTTAAGGGAGGTGGCGGGGAGGGGGAGGCGGCCATGGCAGCCGCGGCTGCTCTCCGCCCCGCCCCACCCCTCGCCCGCAGCCCCGCGCCGCCCCTACCGGCCCGCTCCCGCCTCGGTGCCGCGCCGCACGGGGCTGCGGGCCCTGCCCTGCCGGGAGCCCTGAGGGCACGCCGCCCCTTCCGCCCAGCCTCCCCATCGGGCGGGTGGGATGCTGGGGCTGGCGGCCGCCATGGGTACTACTGGCTCCGCAAGACGAAGGGAAGGGCCGTGCGGGGGTTCGCCGAGGGATTACCGTGTGAAAGCGGGCGGCCCGCCCCGGCGTCCGGGTCGCTGTGCTGTGGTATTTCTTCACGTTACGTACAGAGAACACCGAGCACGTTCTTTATGTATAGAACACCTCTACAGTGTTTTGAGTAAATGACCGTCTGTCTGCCTGCAAGCTTGCACGCCCTTTTCGAGTAGTTGAATAGCATTGCTCTTGTGAGCCTGATGCTGCTATGTGAAGCCTAGTGAAACGGCAGGGCTTCGTTAATGAGGAGCACTGTATTAAGAAAATGGGTAACAGAGCTACTGCACCTTCAGGCAGCTGCTCAGTCACAGCCAGCAGGCTGATAACTCACATCTGCGGCTTCTTCCATCTCCTGCATCTGAAAGCATCTCTTCTTGCCACGCTCTGAAGCCTCATAATCTTCCAACACGAAGTCCCATTGCAGTTATACAAATGAGAAAGCGAGGGACATGGTAACGTGCTGGGTAAGTGGCTGGATATTGCAGTGAGCTGCAGCGTGCCTATGGTTCGTCAAAGGAGCTGTGTGGCACCCGCTGCGATGCTCTACACCAGGAAATATCCAATTATTTGTTTTAGGGCACTTGTGAAGACACTGGAGAGCTGTGCTGTCAATGTTGGCAGGGAGCTAGGGGGCAGCAGGTACTGCCTGGCTCAGTGCTCGAAGCCCACAGCATGCATGGCTCAGTTTTCCTCCTGGCTTTGAAGTCCTTGGTCACAATCCAGAAACAAAACACTATAGTAGGGCTGCTGAAGTCCTGTAGAAGTGTGCCATCCTGGGTCTGTCAGCAATTGTAAACATCTCAAAGAAATTTCACCTACTTTAAAAACAATTTTCCTTCTCAGGCATGTGCTATAAGCTTAGTGGACACCATATGTGAACATGTAGGGGCACATAGGCAGGCTTCTCAATTTAGATGTCTTTGCTGGTTAGCAGATATCAGAGGATTCAGGTCTACAGTTACCTCAGAAAAGCATGAAGGTTTCTGTTCGTCAAGCTACTTCAAAATTCCCATTAAACAGTAATTTCTCCACTTTAAAAGGTCTAATGATACTCCATATAAGCTGTACAGGAAGGACAACTAAGCATTACAATCCAGAAGATAATTGTTTCCCCCCCTCCCCCCTTCTTGATATGACTTCCCTGTAAGAGTACAGTTTTCCCCTGAGTTCTGAACTATCACTGTCAGCTAATCCATGAGAAATTTAGTGATGTCAGTAGGGATGTCATATTTTGAGCTAGAGGTCTGTTGCCAACAACAGTCTATAATACCCCAGCAGAAGTCTTTATTTTTTTTCCCCCCCTTTTTCCCTCTGGATCAAAAGGTTAATCTGTGCAATACTGAAGTTCTCACAAAAAGAAGATTATCAAACCTATCTGTATAATTAGACTTAGCAGTTGGTGCTTGTTGTTTACAAACAACTTCACAGACATCTATTGATTGAGTGTCACAGTATCTGTAGGTGCTATCAGCTTTAATTCTGTCAGAAAAGCTTCGGAAAGAGGTTTAGTGACCCACCTAAGGGGGTGAGATGAGAATTTATGATGAAACCAGCATTCCTAAATTCAAATCCTGATTTAATGATCATATTTGTCTCTTGCATTATGTTGCCACATCAGGAGCAACAGTATCAGGTAACCTCACAGAAGGGACACAGATAGAGGTAAGATGCCATGTAGAAGATGTACACAGAAGCTGTCCCACCCCTTCCTGACAGCTGGAAGCTGCTGCATCTTGGCAGCATCCCCCAGCTTCTGATTCCCATTAGCTTCAAAGTCAGTGAGAACTGATAATTGCTGGCTTGCACAAGAGGAAGGGATCACTAATCAGCCAGGTGGTGTCACAATGACTTCTTCACCAAGTTCATGCAACCTGACTTTTAGAAAAAGTGAAGCGTGGCCTTGGGTATCATCTGTGAAAGGCTGCTTCCTCCAGGTCAACCGGACTGCATATTAGGAGTCTGGTGGCGATGCCTGTAGGGCTGCCTGGTCACAGGGTGCTAGTTAGCCTTCTTATTTCCAGCAGCTAAATTACCTTAAGTAATTAATGTTCATTAAATGCTTTCCTAATGCTACCTTATCATCTAAGCAATGGCTGTCACAGGAGTGTTAGTGGCTTCAAATAAGAGGGGAGGTGACTGGTACAATCAGGAAGGAGACAAAGACACCAGAGATATTCCAGTTTCTCTGCAATCTCACATCACAGTAAAGCAAGGGAGACTCCAGAGCAAGATGCAGGAGATGTAGGTGAGAGACTACTCTTTGGTCATTCTTAAATGAGATATCAATGGGAGCAGGTGCTGTTAGCAAAAACAAAACAACCTCAAAGCCCAATCCAAAACTAATAAGTCTTTTGTGTGTTCATTAGTGCTACACCTTTTTGAAGTCTTTCCTTACTGCTTTTCAGGATTTTTTTTTTTTTCAGATCTTATCAAAAAGGCTTATTAAAATAACTAAATCCAGCTGTCAAGCTGTGTTGAGGTCTGCCTAGAACAAGTGAAGTTTTAGCTGTTTAGAAGCAGTTACATGTACCCCAGTTTTGTGACAGTCATCAGTGACAACTTCTGTAAGGCACCATTCCCTCTCCACAGTCAAGGTGAAAAGAGGGCACATGCAGAACATTTCAAGATGCTGAGCATGTTGTAAGATCTCACATGGTGGCAGGACTTGCCTCCTGTGCACAAAATGAGTGGAATTTTCAATGTTGTATACTTGACTATGCTTTTTATGCATCAAAAAAAGTATTGCTTGTGCTCCACTAGAGTTTTCTCTTTAGTTTAACCAAGTAGTCAGCTTCCACTGTTCAGCAATCATGATCCTGCCTGAAAGCAGACAAACACCCATTGTCTAAAATGCACCTTCTAGCATAAATGAACTTGAGGCTAGTAACTGTACTAAGAATCAGTACTCTATTGCCAGCAACCAGCCAAGACTCCATCCAATTAAGGGCACGGCTGGCATTCAAATGCCCATGATTGCAGTGCAGTCCAATGTGTATGTTCTCCCTAAGGAAGCTAATGGGGAGAAGAGGATCTGAATACTAATGAGGTACGAAGGATGATTTTAGTGCAAAATCCTCAACAACTTGCAAGTTGTTAACCTGAAGATAGGTATTTTTTCTGTTCTTTCCCTAAATGCGCTTAATGAGACTTCTTAATGTAACACCATACGAAGTTATGGGTATGGTTTCAGGTGAGAACAGTGTGTTCTTGAGGCAGCAGGTAATAACAGACTCCTGGGGAAGGGGCATGCAACAATCTGTCCCTAGACCCTTTCCCAGCTTCCATCAATCAGAGTTTAGTCCCATTTCATGGTTTCTTTTTCTATAATTGTGCCTAATTGCTTTTTGAAACCATGTAAACTTCTGGCATCTAGAGCAGCTTGTGTCAGTGCTTTCCATCCAATTTGAAATCCTTCCCATTATGGTTGCCCCAGGAACAATTTCCTAAGAAAAATTTCTGTTGTTATTTGGAACCCCGTGCTAAAGGACATAAAGCACTAAGTATTCTTTTGCAAGGAATTCTGTTACACATTGCACAAATCAGCACTGTTCTTAATAGATATTCACAGCATCTATTGCTAGAATGAAGACCAAGTTATTACAGAGCATACTGTGAGTGCAAATTAAAAAATAATGCACGACAGTCAACCAAATCCTAATGAACCAATGGCACAATATCAAATCCATCAGGAACAAAGACTTCTAATACTATTATTAACAGCCCAAACAAACAAAGCAAGTAAATCAACCTTGACAAACACAGTTCAAGTAACTTTCACTTGTTGTAGATCAGTGTGCAGGTTGATGGTACAGCCCAAACTGCTTCAAAGTGCTTGCACAATGGATGAGAGCTGCAACTCCAAGATGACACCTAATGCAAGGGTTCTTATTGTGCTGAATGGTCAGCAGCTGAGCTAATTACATCAAAACTATCATTTCTTTCCATTAGTGAATATGGAAAGTATGCCCAGCTGCTTATCTGCACAAAAAACTAAGTTTGGAATCACATTTATTGAAGTGTGAGTGTAAAACGCCATGAGAATGAGAAACCACAGTAGAGTCAGATCATCCTTAATGACGCAGTGATCAGGCAGTACTCTTTATGCTTATGGAAAGCCACAGTATACAAAAATACTGTATCTAGGCAAAGAAGGGCGATTACTTGTAAGAAAAGAGAGGGACAGCTCTCTGAGGGGAAGATTATCTACTGAGTTTGTACCAAGGCAGTGGCCTGATGGCCATCTACAGGCTGGCTATTTGGGATTGTAGTGCGCTGAGAAAAAAGTAAATCTGGAGCTGCCCCTCCCCCCCCCCCCCTTTTTTTTTTTTTTTTTTTTTTTGCATCCTTACATTTCTTTTGTTGAATTTCACATAAAGTACAGTAAATAAAAAATAAGGACACATGCAGATGTATGGGGATAGATGACTTCGTGGGTAATAAAGAAAACAGCAGGTGTGATACAGAGCAAAATAACCTCATGGGTTTAAAGGAACCTGGAACCAGGAGGACAGGACCTCTGCCTCCAAACTGAGGAAAAGCCATTAACCTCATTAAATGAGGTTAGAAATATGACCTCCTAGACTGCAACCTAAACTTATTTCCACATAATACTGATTCTCCCATTTTACTCTGCAATAAAAAGTGTTGAATGCTTCACAGAAGCATCACTGCTGCAAATCCCAGATTCTCTACTTCCCATATCATGTCCTTTTGAAGCTATTTGCAGAATTATGCAGTGAATGCTGATAAGGCTGCGGTGCAGGAAGGTGCCAGATGGGTGCAAGTGTACTCTTGCCCCTGTGCCTGCAGTGCTTGTGACCCATAGAGGGATGTGAGTTCTGAACAGGGCTTGTAGATGCAAGGTGCTCAGCTTAGAACCAACACCCCAGAGGTCAAGTGGAAGAGGAGTGGATCATGAGAATGTTGAAGGGCCTGTGAGCCAGCTCAGACTCATTAGTATTAGTTAAATTGAGGCCAGTCTCATGCTTCCAGTTGAGCACATGGCAAAAATCATGCTTAGAAGAAGCTCCACAATGAACTATCAGCACGAAACATCAGGGCACAGGGGCACATCCATGCTGCAATAGGGAAGAGCAAAACAGTAACAACTGTCAGAACACACCCTGGGAAGAAAAGAGACATGGCAAAATTGGCCATGTAAGAACATGAGGCTTATCAGTGGGACAGCCTTCCTGGTTCAGGAACCTCAGGAAAACCAAGTGAAGGGGAAAAGAAAAAAGCACAGACAATTCTTTATTTGTATTTATCTAGCAATGCCCTGAGCTATTATAAATTGGAACTGAAAGCCTTTACCTCCAAACAGAAATAAGTCCAGGCAACTCCAACAGCCAGCAAGATTCATAGGCACATGGGAAGGTGTAATGCAATAGAAAGTATAACAAGATAGCAAAGCAGTAAAGTCTCAGGCTACGGCAAGCGAGGATCTACTTAGACATAATAACAGCAGATATAGAAAAAAGAGAAAGAAGCTGCTTACCTTCAGAAGACCCATAAGGCCCTCAGGTAGGAAAGGATCTCCTCCCCTGCCAGCCCTTAAATGAAGTCTGGGAAAGGGTGGATCCTGGCTCCATCCCTTCCAGTCTCTCAGATACACTGCTTGCACCTGAGCAACCCTGGGCTTGCCCTCCTGACAGGTGTTCAATCACTGGTTCAAGCTGTGATTTAGCATTCCCGCTATAGAAATCTTACTGTCTACTGGCATTATCTCAAATTTTTATTTGAGAGTTTTTATTCTCTATTAGGTATTCTGAAGTAACTTTCTGTCTGAATGACACTGGGTGAAGATCAGAGCCCAGAATGGGCCAGCACTCACTGGGTTCACATCAGCAGTGGAGCATGGCCAGAGCAGCATTGCTGCTGGGGTTGGTGAGGGGAGGGTGAGTGGGGCTGAGTCCAGCCTGTGATTAGGAGTAAGTGAGAAGCTATGGCCTGAGCCCTGGCCAGGGAATGCAGATGTTGTTAGATGCAGCTATGGGGTCTTGGATTTCTTTCATCCCCCAGCAATCAATTTTGTGTGGAGCTCTCCATCTCTGTGTCCTCAAAACTCATCCTGCTACATGCATCACTACATCCTGCCGTATGTAAATACAATCTCCTCTGTGATTCATGCAATAATTAAAAGCAACAATTATTTTAAATGTTACCTTCCCCACTTCAGTAAATAGGCTGGTATCCGTGCGTCAGCGACAGACCTCACTGATCATGTTGCACTCCAACTCGCTTTCATTAGGCTCTGCAAATATACTGCAGTTCTCGCAAAATCCACGTGCTGGGTAAGCCAGAATCTCTGTTACAGTTCTCAGATATCCACTTATGTATTTGTCTCCCTCTCAATTACTGTACTTCCAGAGAAAGCACACTGTTGCTTATTATTATCCAGTGTATTCAATGTCCTGGCAGGAGAGAATTAAAGTCAGGCAGAGGGGAAAACTGAGCATAGCCTGGGAAAATTGAGTGCCATCTGAGCAGAGGGATAAATAAATACTCTTACATTTAGCATTATTTTACAGAACAGACATTCAGTAACCCGCTCCTAGGTGACACTTCTGCAGCACATGCTCATTTTCTGATCCACCTTCATTTTAACCTTGAGGGCTGTAACACCGACAGTACTCATTTAGAGACACACTGCTTTATGTGCCATCAGAAATTCCCCACAGCTAACAATTCCAGCTAATGCAATTAGTTTATTAAGTGTATGGTTTACATGTAATGTTTCTGAGTCATTTTTATTCAATGGTATTGGCATAACTGATTGTCAGATCTGAGACAGTTGGTTAAAACATGTTGGTGTTAGGGAGAAGGATCCAAAGAGGAGAGCTGGGGATGCTGGGGGCTGTGTGAGGGCTCAGTGTGGAGGGAGGCCAGTGGCCCCCAGGGGAATGCTGAGCCTCAAGGGTGAGGGAAGAAGTGGGGAGGAGGATGAAGACATTTTTATCAGAGAGAACGCTGATGCTTGAAGTACTATTATCATGCTGCTGGGAGATGTGCATTTTAAATACATTTAAAATCCTTTGCTTTTAATTTTCTGTTTGCATATTGCATGAGTGTGCATTTGACCGAATAGCTGAGTGTGTGTAAAAGGCAATTCTAAAGCAAGGAATCTTCACTTGAAACCTGCAGCTGAAGAAAATTTATTCCAGCTTTCCAGATGTGCTCAGGCTCAGCTTGGCTGTGTTTAGGAGCACACTGAGAACAGCAAGCAGGCAGTATGTGCTTTTGTTGATAACTGTTGGGTGCAGTCATGAAAACCTGAGTTCGTCATGTGGCAGAGACAGGGTAGGGTAAGCAATAGCACAGCCCCTCTGCATGCCACCCCAAACCCAGCTGCATCTTTCTTGGGAACAGGGGCTGCTTGAGCCCTGCACTGCTCCTTCACTCCTTCCACAGTTCATTCATCAGTAGTGCATGCGGTGTAATAGTTGTGTGCAAAATTGTTCATTTCACCAGACTGAGGCCCCAAATTCAGTCTAGATAGGAGGAAATGGAGCTAGCTCCCTTTCTCAGATCTGGAGAGCTAAATGATCTGCACTGAATTGCATGTTTTCAGTTCTGTGGCTCACTTATCTGCTAGCTGAGGATGACTAACACATAGTGGCAGAGATCTGGAAGAGCCGTTGAGTGCATAGTGTACAGAGCCCTGCAGGACAGGAACCGTTGGTCATCCTGGGCCCTGTTGTGTCTCTGCCCCAGTGATGTGCATTGGGATCCAAAGAAAGATGGTCTCTGAAAATTAAAAGGTGGAATTCAAAACAGACATGCTTATTTATTTGTTCAGATACTGCATTGTTTGTAAAGCTGTTAACATGGCTCCATAATTCAATGTTTTGCTCTTTAATAATTGCTGAGCAGCCCCATAATAAATAATGCTATCCCGTTTACTGTCATTTTACATTTACTGAGCATATAATTTATCTAGACTCATAAAGACAATACAGGTAGCTTTTAATAAGCACAAAAAAAAAGTTCAGACTAAACCAAAGAGTGAGTGTATGGCCATAGAAGTGCTCTCCCAGCAGGCAACAAAAAGATGCTGCTTGATGTTCCACAGGACACAGTGGCCTGGGAATGTGGAGATCTGCTCTCACAAGGCACTGATGTGAATCCATGCCCTGGACACCACCTGGCTGAGGCGTTGGGTCTGATGTGAAGTGAGGGGTAGTGCTGCAACATCCTGACCTGTAGCAAGCGCTGGATGGGAGAGGAGGGACAGGAGCCCTGTTTATCCCAGCATTTGGATGAAAAAGCCCTGGGATGGCAAAATGAACTGCAGGGTGGGGACACTGGAATCAAGGCACTCTTGGTCTTTTCTGGCTAGAGAGAGCTGCCATTACGTTTTTTTGATGATGGCATCTGCACTCACAGGTCAAGGTAGTATAACAAAAGCGACAGAACCCGTTTGGCTATGCTGATTTATACTGGAATCATAAGGCTAGGACTGTATGATATTTGGCAATTTGTCTTAGATTCCTAATTCCACATTTAGCCACCTCTGATATTTATGCACAGATTTTTTTTTAAATTAAGTTATTAAACACAAACTCCAAAAATTAACTTACCATGAATGTTTTCTTTTTAAGTAGCCTACAGATACTGTTTTATTCTAGGCAGATGAAATCTAAGATGAATAAATGATATACAAACAAGCTGATTTTGCCAGCTTTAGGTACAAATCTTGTAAGGACCTCTGCTTCTAGAAGGAGGCTCAAGTGATGTATTTTTCATGCAAACATCAGCCTCATTAGATCTAGCAAGTTAAAAGATCTTGAAAAAAATAAAAATACCAGTAACATGACTGGAATGCCGTGACTGGGTTTCATGTGATCAGGTACAGTCATTTAAAATACACATATCTGCATCTGAATCCTTCACCGTGGCTTCAGTTATATTTAAAACAGGTAGTTGGTTCTGGGGAGAAATTTGCTTCATCAGAATTAGTGGGGAAGGAGTTCTCAGGGAGTCCAAGCCCCTCTGGTGGAACTTACCAGGGCTGGGAAGGGCCCTGGCCATCTGAATTCAGGTGGGGCTGGAGAGTGGAGTTTGCAGCAGTCATGTTAAGGTCACACCGAATGTGCTCACTCTGGTAGTGGTGCTACAGAAAGCCCGTTGACCTCTAACTAATTTTTCCCCCAGTTATCAAAGGCTTGGAAAGAATACTGCATTTAATTTTTTATTTATACCCGTGAGAGAGAAAATGTTTAATGAGTTGCTACATGCAGTAATGTGCCAGAGAGCTAAGAGAGAAGCAAGTCAGTGAAATGCTGTGTTCTGTCAGGCTGAGCATGCTCCTGCAAGAAAACAAACTGCCAGCAGTTTTATTGTGCCGAGCCATGAATGTGCAATGCAATTATGACAGATAAAGCTCCCAGATGGAGCTCATGGAGCCAGGCATGGGGAGTCTGGACACCTCCGTAGCCTGGTGAACCCAGAGACCCCCATGGCCTGGTGAGCAGGCCCAGCACTGCAGGTTGGCCGGTGGCAGAAGCCGAGCTCCTTAAAATAAAGGTTGGCAACACTGTAAGGACACAATCTTAAGCTGCAGTAAAATAAAGACATGCTCTAGGATTCCCAGAAACTGACAATTGAATTGAAGCCCTGCAAGTGAGCTGTTCCTAAAACCCCAAACCTTCTTATCACTTCATTTGAGTCTTTGTATTCATGTAGAGAAGCAGAAGTGTTCAAAGAATTTCCTTAATAGAAATATTCAAAGCTCTTTAAAGTTCCTCTTTCTTAAGTAACTTTGCAATGGAACGGGAGCTATTAATTAGTGTAGATAATGCCATCTCAGAAAACAGTGAGCTTGGCTGCAGGAGGAGTTTGTTCCATGCTTCTCCAGCCACTACCTTGTCTCAGAGTGCTTACTGAGGAGCCTGATAATTTGAAATTAAGGTTGCCACAGGATTTCTTCAATGCACCTGAACCAAATAGTCACTATTTGTTGAGCTGTTGATACTTCTTACTCTGCGTTTTATAGGAATACATTTTATTTTTATACCTGAGCTAGAATCAGTAATAGCCCATGACGTAGCAATAGATTATGCTGCCGTGTAATTAAAAAAGCAAACAGTTTGGTCATAAGTTGCTTCTCTGCACACATAAATTAAATTAAATTGAAGGGGATTGCCTTTCCCTGGGCAGGATTAAAATGATAGCTGTTTCTGAGATCAGGAAAATACTCCCTGGACAAAACCTCAGGAAACTGAGGGATGCCTTGGATTTAATTATTCATCTTGTGATACTCAGTGATTTTCCCACTGCTCAGTCACCGGAGTCATGAGATTCTAGGCTTTAAAATTGCAAAGGAAAAAATAAACAAACAAAAAAGAACCTCCAGAGAGTTAGAGAAATCCAGGAGAAACAAGATGAAATGTCTTGGAAGAAGTGCTGTGTTCCTACACTTTTTGAAAATCTGTGCTTGACAGTGTCAGCCCTCTCTGTCTTCAGCAGTGCTAAACAACTGCTACTGTTCATGGAGATAATTTTTAAGCCATTTAGCACC